ATGATTTAACTGGGAATTGGTCCTGCTTCGAGCAGGGGGTTGGACTAGATGACCTTCTGGGGTCCCTTCCAACCCTTATATTCTATGATTCCCCCCACTGTTCTTCAGACATTCTTGTTAACTCCTGGAAATGTGCTGGAAATGGCCCACCTTGATTATCACTTCAAAAGGTTTTCTCTCCCCCTACCCCACTCTCCCGCTGGTAATAGCTCATCTTAAGTGATCACTCTCCTTACAATGTATATTTTTTCATAGTCTGTGTGTATATATAAAATCTCCTCACTGTACTTTCCACTTTATGCATCCGATGAAGTGAGCTGTAGCTCACAAAAGCTTATGCTCAAATAAATTGGTTAGTCTCTAAGGTGCCACAAGTACTCCTTTTCTTTTTGTGAATACAGACTAACACGGCTGCTACTCTGAAACCTGACCTCAAAATAGTTGTCAATGGGGAATCATCATTGAATGAGGTTGTTTCTAGTGGAGTTCTGTGGGAATCAGTACTAGGCCCAGTGCTATTCAACATTTTCATCAGTGATCCTGAAGGAAATACAAAATCACAGCTGATAAAATTTGCATATGACACAAAGAGGTGGAGTGGTAAATAATGAGGACAGGGCAGTCATACAGAGTGGTATGGGTTGCTTGATAGGCTGGGCCCATTCAAACAAAATGCTTTTTCATGCAGCCAAATGCAAAATTATACATCTAGGAACAAGGAATGCAGGCCATAGCTATAGAATGAGGTTCTGTAACCCAGAAAGCAGTGATTCTGAAAATTACTTAGAGGTCATAGAGAGCAAGCAACTCAGCATGAGTTTCCAGTGCGATGCTGTGGCAAAAAAGTTGTAATGGGATCCTTGGATATATAAACAGGGAAGTAGTGAGTAGAAGTAAGGAGGTGATTTTACCTCTGGATACGGCATTGGTGAGACTGATACTGGAATACTGCATACATTTCTGGTGTCAACCGTTTCAAAAGAATGTTGAAAAATTGGAGAGGGTGTAGAAAATATCATAATATCGTAAAAATCATTTGAAGGCTGGAGGAAACGGCAGTGGAAGACTTAGGGCTCAATACATTTAGCGTATCAAAAAGAAGATTGAGAGGTCACTTGATTACATTGTACAAATTTGTTCACAAGGAGAAAATTCCACATACTAAAGGGCTCTTAAATGTAGCAGAGAAAGGCATAAAATGAGTCAATGTCTGGAAGCTGAAGCCAGATGAATTCAAATTAGAAATTAGACACAATTTGTTAACAGTGAGAGTGATTAACCATTGAAAAAAACTACCAAGGGAAATGATAGATTCTGCATTTCTTGGAGTATTAAAATCAGGATTACATGCATTTCTTGAAGATATGATTATGTCAGACACAAATGATGCTTCAGTTTGGGTTCAATAAAGGGGTAAATGCGTGAAATTTATTAACCTGTGGTATACAGGAGGTCAGATTAGGTAATCTAATGGTCCCTCCTGACCTCACACTCTATGAATCTATGAAAATTTCTGTTCAAATGGTTCAAGTTTGACTAAGTATAAGCAACTGAAAACAGGGTCTTATAATGGGAAGTGTTAGGCAACCTTAATAATTGGTGGAGCTACCAGTACTGGCTATAATATATCCTTCCTATTTTACCCTTCAAATATTTGAAGACTTATCTCTTATCTTTCTCTTTACAATACCTACTTTCCTCTGACTTTTTTGTAGTGCCTGTCTAAACTCAGGTAATTTAAATCCACAAAGTGTTTCCCTAGCAGACTTCATAGTTTGATTCTGTTCTCCCAGGTTTCATGTACTCTTCTAGGGTTTGGGTTTTAAAAAAAAAATATTTCTTCCCTTTTAATGTACGTCATTGTTTTCTACTCCTATATTACAATTTCTGGACAGCTGACTCGGGTTCATGGGGCTCGGGCTAAGGGGCTGTTTAATTGCAGTGTAGACATTCAGAATCAGCCTGCAGCTCAAGTTCTAGGACCCTCTCATCTCTCAGGGTCCTAGAGCCTGGGCTCCAGCCCATGCCCAAATGTCTGCACCACAGTTAAACGGCCCCTTAGCTCGAGCCCGAGTCAGCTTGAATTAATTGGCATGAGCCAGCTGCAGGTTTTTAATTTCAGTATAAACATACCCTAAGTGTCTCAACCATTCAACAGCTGAGGGAAGAGCATTGTACAAGTCCATGAGTTAACCAGGCAGCTCTTGCAAATAGGTGCAGCCTGCAAGTATGTGGCCTACATCTTCTAACTGGCCACAGCAGCAGGGAGATATCACAAAGTCATGGGTGGTCATTAGCAGAACATCTGATCACATCTGAAGTGATTAAGCTTTACCCAAAGAAGGCATGGAAGGTCAAAACCAGGGAACTCTCATGGGATAGGCATTGGCTACATTTGAAGCTTGTTCTTGATGCCTAGTACGCCAACTGAAAGCAATACTGAGGTTCTGTAGGGGAACAGTCCAAGCGGGTTGCCTTGAGCTAAGCCCGTGGCTTGGTGGATTAACCACATCTTTAAACAGGGGTGGATGTGGCATGTCTTTACTTTAAGGAGCAAATTCTGCAAGGTAACTTATTGCCTGCTGTCTGGAGGGACGATGTTGGACAGGACCGGCAGCCAGGCCAGGTCGGTCGGTCTCATGCTATCAGTTATTATATACATGGTTTCGTTCAGCTGAGTATCTGCTAAGAGCTGAAAACAGCTGAGCAACACTAGGAAATCATCTTATGACTACACTCCAATCTAAGGGTGTGATTCCACTGCTTGCGGTCAAATTCTTGTGGATGTTTTCCATGGTTACCTCTTTTTCAAATGGCTGATGCACAAAACTGCACTGTGACCCCTTGATGCTGGAAATAGAGATTTTCTCTATGTACTTTCCACCTCCGCAAATACCTAGCAGTCAGAGCTAAAGACAACTCCTTTTCTAGCATTTTCTTTTGTTTATGGTGACAGCCTTTGTTCTTCTGCTACAGGTAAGATCTGAACAACACTTTTGTTCATCCTTCTCTTTAAGAGGTTTAGGGCCCGATCCTGCTCCCATTGAAGACTATTCCAATACTCCCTTTGAGTTCACTGGTGCAGGATCAGGTTTTTTCAGTTCAGAATCTTTGCAAGAAAAGGTGACAAAAGGCAATTTAACAAGACAGTAGTGGCATTTTAGTAGTGCATTGGTAGCATCTCACTCTGAAGGTCAGAAGGGAAACATCTCTGAGTTTTTGAAGTGGTAACAGGAGAGACGCTGCAGATAAAATCCAGTTTAACACTGTTAGGATACCATCAAAAATGCGGGAAAAATAGGGAAATGTGGAAAGAGGGTATTTGCTGTTTTAAACAGGGATCCACTCACAGTTGATTAGAGTCTATACTCTTCTGCTGTAAATTTGAACAATTGGAATAATTAGCAAAAAAGGTCAGCAGACTTTTAAAAACCTTGAATGTATGTTTTGCTTTTCAATTTTTTCTTTAGTATTTGTTTCCGTTTCCCTCCCCAATTTTATTGCTAAGGAAACAGAGCAAATAACCATTTGTTTCTCACTATGCATTTATCATTGATCCTGTGTTGCTCTCCACAGTACTAAAGATTGGGGACCCCTAATTTATGCTAAATCATGCATCATCATATTACATAAAAGCAAAATATTTGGTAATTTCTGAATATTGTGCAAGATGGCCATTTCTGGCATAAATATTCTGTAGATGGATTTGAAAATATATCCCTTCATGCAAGAGGGAGTCAGTAAAAGGTTGCCAAATAGTCTAGAAATAAATCAATTTAAACTGTCAAGAAACTGTAGTGCAACCCTAGACACTGTTTTTCTAAGCAGGAAAATTAATTCAGAGAAGAGATTCAGGCGATAAAATATTGGCTATACACTGCATGGTGCTGACCATTCTCAGCTCCTTGTGATGTTAGTAGGAGTCAAGGGTGCCCCACACCTTCCAGAACTGGGGCAGCTGTTAATGCAATAGCAACATTCCTTCATCTGAAAGTCAGACAATTCAATACTATGATTTTGCAGAAGCCCTAATTCAGCCCTCTTGCTAACAGTGGTATTTTGTTTTATTTGAATGTGGTTCAGTCAGAGAAAGCAGAATCTGTAGCCTCTACCTTAGATTCATATGCAATTGCTTATTCATTGTTAAGTGATTATTTTTAAATGTGGTTAGAAAACAGTGTTTTTAATCCCCTTCCCTCTTCAGACCTGGCTGAGAGCAGATAATTTCATGCTTTTGAGCAAGAAAAAAAATCTCCAAAGAGCAGTACACTTTGTGCAGGAAAACAAATGCAGAGTAAGATTATTTTTAATTAAGAAGAAGATAGCAGCATATTTTCAGACATAGAAGAAAAATGTTATAATTCCAGAAAAAAAAAAAGTATGCCAGCCCTGGTCCACCTGCCTTGAGACGCGGGAAGAAAAGTGAGCTAAATTTAGGGGAAATGGGCATCTCACAGCACCACGGGCACGGGGGTGGTAGGGTTGTGGAGGCAGCTGTTTTTGGCAAGTCAAAGGAACAACTGCAACTGGCTTCGTTGCAGGCACATTTTTGTGCTCAGACTGTAGTGGTAGCTTTGATCCTAACAGATAATGATCCAAGTAATTACCTTTCTGCAGAATGAACTGTGGATGTTGCTCTACATTGTGTATAACAATTCGGATATCTGTAGTATACACAGCTATATGATTTGTTAATCAATGTTGATACATCCATTTTTAGGTTCCGAGTAATTTAAAAGAGAGTCATAAGGATTTCAATCTCTTGTTCCTTTCGCTGTATTCTCCATCTTTCTCTCCTCACCCGTCTCCAGTACACATCCCACTTACTCTTCTGCTCATTCCTCTAGTCCTCTCTGTGTGTGACTACTCCACTCATTCAGCCCCACTTTGACATACATACCCACACAGTACCCTACAGTCCTTTGCTTACATTAGCTGTTAGGAGGCCGGGTCAGCGTTTGCCAGCCTGGCTGTAGAGAAAGTATGACTGTTCATCCCACCTGTTAAAAGCTTCAGCTGGTACGAAGTGCAGCAGTCCATCTGTTTGTTAGCACAGGTTCCATGAACACATTGACCTGGTGCTGGATCTCCAGTGAATGCAGAGTTCAGCGCAAGGACTCTGTCCTAATATTCAAAGCCTCCCCTCGGCTTGGCTGTTGCTTATCACTCCCTTCATGACCTCTCACAACAGCTACATTCCAATGAAAAAAAGCCTGTCAACTGGTAGGAGGCTCATAAGTTTTGTAGATGGAACTTTCATATGAGTTGGACCTAGACTACAGAACTAACTCCTGCCATAGATAAGAATGACCAGGCCACTACTTTATCTAAAACTAAATATAAAACTCATTCCTTTGGATTAGCTTTCCATAAATTCTTTCTATTTCTGTCATACATGCGCACACACACACACACACATACACACACACACAATTTTTCTATTTTTAAATACTTGGAAGGTGCACAGATACTCTTTGCATGGGAGCATAGATGAACAGACAGACAAAACAGAGTATGGTCCAACCAACCCCGTACTTAACCCGTTTCATTAACTAACCCCATTAAATAGTTCTGCTGATAGGCACAATATCCTTCACTGAATAAATCCAAGTTTTTTGTTTGCTTCCTTAACTGCTGCTAGATATTAAGCTGATGGATTTGAGTCTCTGTACAGTGTCGCCCTGCAGGTATTCATCTCTTTATCCAAAGCAGTTCTAACAGCAGATACTAGCTAGAAAACCAGTAAGCTGTGAAAATACATGCTATTTTTATAACTTCTGCTAGACACTCCTGCTGCTGTCTTTTTATGTGATTGTCTAGAGAGTAAATGAAGAAAACGCCATGAAATCACAGCATCCTGCTTCTTTTTCTCTATCTTTTCACTGTGAACTTTTGAGAAGAGAGATTTTAGGTGTGGCTTTTGTCCATGTTTTGGTCAATAAACCATCAGAATTTTAAAAAGGCCCAAAATTAAATAAACACGGAAGTTAAAAGTTAGCAATGCAAAAATATTACATTTGTCACTTGTTATATCACCAAGATCCCTCAAAGAGAGGTCTTAAATAGTTAAGAGGAAACAAAGTGGAAATAACTGTTTAGGGAAGATGGGAGATAACAATCAAAATATGAATTATATCAGCCAAGTCAAGGACCCTGTGCTCAGAGTAGGGGTGGTATGAGGTTTTGTGTCTCTACAACATACCTGTGGAACTCAAGCTCAGCTACATTGGAGTAGGTGGAGAAGATGAAGGCTGGAGGTAGAAAGGCAGAGACCTAAATTGTATTAACTTGCACTGCTTTCCCCTTTCTCCTGGGAAGCCCCTTTTGGGATGGCCAGGGTAAGAAAAGCCCCTTCTCAGGGTTGCTGATGTAGGAGAATGGGGCCTTTAAGAAGCATGTAGAGTAATTGAAATGAGCTGTCTGACACGGAACAAAAGTAAAAACTACACCTTAAAGTGGATTCTGAAATGTAAGCACGTGGAAGGAAACTGTTAAAGACCCAAAGATGGCTGTAAAAACGCAATACTTTCTTTGTAAAAATGAAAATACTTTAACCCAATCAGAGTTTTATAGAGATTTTCTTTCTCAAGGTAAACCCTGACTCTTTTTTACAAACATTTTCACATACATTTTTTACAAACATTTTAATTTACAGCCTAAATAGATGGCAGCTAGCCAGTGCTCTGTGAACTGCTGTCTACAATATTAAGCATGGATCATTAGTACTGGGACACTATATTTTGGAGTGCAATGGCTGCCTAGAAAGCAACCCATTTTAATAGGCTCTGTTGTGAGAGATTCAGTGGATTTGGAGGGGGCTATAGCTCTTAATGTTCCCTTTTTCCTTCTCATGCAAACCAAACCATAAGCCATTAGATTTCAACACAAGGTGTGATAAATAAAGGGGGGATAGCTCCCTTTGATGGACACCCAGCCAGCCAGTTAGCTGTAAAATTCATCTTGGTAGCTGTTCTTTACTTGCTTTACCTATAAAGGGTTTAAAAGTCCCCCAGGTAAAGAAAAAAAAGTGGGCACCTGACCAAAAGAGCCAATGGGAAGGTAAACTTTTTAAAATTGGGAAAGCAACTTTCCCTTTGTCTGTTGTTCTCTGGGCTGGAGGGACAGAGCAGCCATGCTATAAGCAACTTAAGCCAGGTATGATCATAAATCATCAGATCATGCCTAGAACTACATATCTGAACTCCAAATGTGTAAGTAGATCAGAATGTTTAGCTAGACACAATTAGGGTTATTTCTTTTATTTTTTATTTGCTTGTGGACTCCTCTGTGCTAATCCCAGATGGTTTTGTTTGCTTGTAACCTTTAAGCTGAACCCCCAAGAAAGCAATTTTGGGTGCTTGATTTTTGGAACTGCTCTCTTAAGATCTAGCAAAATCCTAAATTCGAAATGTATTTTCTTTCTTTTTGTTTTTAATAAAATTTACTTTTTTTAAGAACAGGATTGGATTTTTGGTGTCCTAAAAAGTTTGTGCATGTTGTTGGATTAGCTGATAGCCACAGGTAATTTCCTTTGTTTTCTTTCTCAGCTCTTCCCCAGAGCGGGGGTGAAAGGGCTTGAGGATACCCCACAGGAAGGAATTCCCAAGTGCTCCTTCCTGAGTTCAAAGGGGTTTTTTTGCATTTGGGTGGTGGCAGCGTTTACCAAGCCAAGATCAGAGAAAAGCTGTAACCTTGGGAGTTTAATACAAGCCTGGACTGGCAAGTATTAATTTTTAAAATCCTTGCGGGCCCACTTCTGCACTCGGAGTGACAGAGTTGAGATTCAGCCTTGACACAAGGTGTAATCATTGCACATGGACACAGCAACCCCGACCTTTTTGTGATCTGACAGCCATTGGTCATCTGAACCAGCAAGTCTGCAATATTAAGCATAAATGATCTAGCTGTTTTATCAGTCTTAACAGAAATCACCACCAACAGCATATTGAACATTTGACAGCTGTTGAGTAGCCAATCAATTCACAGTGCTGTTTATGTTTTAGATAAGTCTTTGGGTCTGACTAGTCACTTGAAAAACTATTTTTTCAGAAGAGAAAAAGCAATATATTTGTTTGCTCACTTCATATCTTAGATCAGTTGCTGATTCATGAAAGAATACTTAGATGTGCTTAGAGCAGTGGCTCCCAAACTTGTTCCGCCGCTTGTGCAGGGAAAGCCCCTGGCAGGCCGGGCCGGTTTGTTTACCTGCTGCGTCTGCAGGTTCAGCCGACCATGGCTCCCAGTGGCTCCGGTTCGCTACTCCAGGCCAATGGGGCCTGCGGGAAGCTGCGCGGGGCGAAGGACGTGGCTGGTAAACAAACCGGCCCAGCGCGCCAGGGGCTTTCCCTGCACAAGTGGCGGAACAAGTTTGGGAACCACTGGCTTAGAGTAAACAGGCTGCAGAGAGTAGCTGAAAATATATTTTTTTAAACCTCATCCGAGCTGCACAGGAAACCAAAACTAGCAATGGTAGCTGTCATTTTTAAGCTCTGGGTAGTGATATCAGTAGTTTCACATAAAGCTCTTAAAAGGCTCTCACATGTCAGGTTTTCTGCATTTCCTGCAGCACATTAATGTTAGTCTGCTACAAAACGGGATAACTGGGCAACAAAATGACAGAGGAAATTCAGTGTTGATAAATGCAAAATAATGCACATTGGAAAACATAATCCCAACTATGCATATCAAATGATGGGGTCTAAATTAGCTGTTACCACTCAAGAAAGAGATCTTGGAGTCATTGTGGATAGTTCTCTGGAAACATCCATGCAGTGTGCAGTGGCAGTCAAAAAAGCTAACAGAATGTTGGGAATCATCAAGAATAAGACAGAAAATATCATATTGACTCTATATAAATTTGTGGTATGCCCATATCTTGAATACTGCATGCAGATGTGATTGCCCCATCTCAAAAAAGATATATTGGAAATGGAAAAGGTTCAGAAAAGGGCAACAAAAATGATTAGGGGTATGGAACAGCTTCCATATGAGGAGAGATTAAAAAGCCTGGCACTTTTCAGCTTTGAAAAGAGACAACTAAGGGGGGATATGAAAGAGATCTATAAAATCATGACTGGTGTGAAGAAAGTAAATAAAGAAGTGTTATTTACTCCTTCTCATAACACAAGAACTAGGGTCACCAAATGAAATTAATAGGCGGCAGGTTTTGAAACAAACAAAAGGAAGTATTTCTTCACACAACACACGGTCTAACTGTGGAACTCCTTGCCAGAGGATGTTGTGAAGGCCAAGACCATAACAGGGTTTAAAAAAAAAACTAGATAAATTCATGGAGGATAGGTCCATCAATGCTATTAGCCAGGATGGGCAGGGATGGTGTCCCTAGCCTTGGTTTTCCCAGAAGCTGGGAATGGGCAACAGGGGATGGATCACTTGAGATTACCTGTTCTGTTCATTCCCTCTGAAGCACTTGGCATTGGCCACAGTTGGAAGACAGAATGCTGAGCTAGGTGGACCTTTGGTCTGACTCAGTATGGCCATTCTTATGTTCATGTGTTATTATAGAGTCAGTAAACAAACAATGAGGGCTAAATTTGCATGGGATATACAGGATGTAAGTAACTGCAGTATGTGTCTGTAGGTTAATGTTTTGATCCTGTGCTATCTCTTTAAATCTAAAATCTAAAACATCGCTGAAAATTCTTAGGTTACCATTTTGATCTTACAAGTCTTGTTTTTAGTATAATTTAAATCAGCGGAATAAAATTCTCTTCTTATTTATTTCGGTGACACCACTTTCTTCCAGTTGATTGATGAGGCTATAGGTGAGTTTAGGATTCCAGTGGTGTTACATGGGTCTAACCAAGAACAGACTTAGCCTCCAGAATTGCAATAAAATTCTCATTTGCATTTACACATGTTTGTACTGCTTCCTTTCAAAACTTAGATATGCATCTTAGAAAACTTCACAGGTTAGGAGGAGCCATGTTCCAAAGAAATGGGGAAAAATAGAAATAAGGGAGGGGAAAATGACAGGGATATTCTCCCAGTGATTTCAAATCATGGAAATATTCAGGTTCAAAACCTGGATCAATTTGAAGTCAGTGAAAGTTTTGACATTAAAGTTAATGGAGCCAAGATTTCATCCTAGGTGTAAGTATAAAACTAACCATCACTTAGTGA